TTTGCAACTGTAAACTGTTGATCAGTATTCACTGGTTTTGATTTTGGCCCTACCTTTGTTTCCAGGTCACATTATAAATGCAATAAATTGTCATCACTTTCTGAGACCATTTAGTCAGCATCTCTTTTATTTAGCTATCATTAGTCTGCTATCATAACAGTGCAGTCATCTCTACACCTATCAAACGTGAAGCTTGCTAAATATTCTGAATGCCAAATGAATGGTGCAATGTGTCACGAATTCGGTCCATGGACTTCCGTTTATTCACCACCAGAGGTCACCCTTTCCATTACATTGACTCTCGCACAACACAAACTGTTGCATAGCACCCCGGACTACATATCCCATCATTCTTTGCACGATTTGCACACTGCACTGATTGCACTCATTGCACACAGCTGTTTCTAATCACCTCACTCACTATATAACACCCACTCTAACCACCTTTCTCTGCTGAGTATTGTTTAGCCCGTACCCCATTCCGAGTCTCTGTGTTTTCCTTGTTTTGCCTTGCCTTGCCTGTTTCCGCGGTTTCTGATCTTTGCCTGTTTTCCTGGATTTTTCCCTCTCGTCTCGCCCCTGTGATTCTGTCTGCCGATCGGTGACCTACGCTAGCCCTGGGACTATTCTTGTGTTTTGCCCGCCATATACCTGTTTGCCATTGTTTGACCCTGCCTGTTTACCACGTCTCTTTAATAAAGCTTGCAGATGGATCCACACGTCTCACGTCTCGTCAGCCCCGTTACACAATGAGAGCATTGTTAAACACTCCTGTAATGTCTGTTTCATTCATACTTAGAGTTGGAGACACTCTCGTGCAGAAAGTCCACAAGTGAGACTCACAGAAGTGATACAACGTATGAAGTTCTAGTAAATGGCACATGATTGTGATAATATATGATCTAGTTTGTGCTCTTTAAGCCATATCGGGTATTTTCATATAAAAGCATATTTATAATGCAATGCTAATCAACATTTGTGGTCCTTTATTTCTGTATAGAAATGATAAAATATGTTTTGATGATTTTTTATGTATGTATAAGCTGTTATCAATCAAATTAAATCAGAATCAATAAAATCCATAGCAGAAGCTGCATTCAGATAATAAAGCAGCATTTAGATGGATTAACCCTGCAACTGCAAAAAATAATGCTATGAGATTAAAGTTTTTAAAACATTGAGGATTTTTTAATGCTATTTTAAATAGGAAACTAAAACACCAGCAGGTGGCGACTACTCACTGTCTTACTGAGCGGGTCATTGAGTCATTGATTCAAACAATTCATTCAGGAGCGAATCGAGTCTTTAACGTGATTGATTATGAGGCACAGCTGATTCAAATCGAGCATTTATTTTTCTCCAGTGGCAGAGATCTGCTTATATACGAAGATCTGGAGGAGCTGCAGTTGGAAATGTGATGTCTGCTCGTGTTTATGTTTGCCGGGTAACAGAGTAGTCATCATAAGAATTGCCGGCGGTCATGCCTATCCGTCATTAGGGGGCACTCTCGTGCGTCTGAGCAGCGCAGTGAGAAAAAATGGAAAGAAAGAGAGTTTTATTTTCGGGGAGCGGTTTATGATTGAGGCATCCCGGACACGAGTGAGTTGAAGTACATGGGCTGGAAAACAACACTGTCTGTTGTTTGGTCAGGGGAAAAAAAAGGGAAATCCTCGGTTGGGTGTTGGTCTGGTCGCTGAGCAGTTTGGAGCAGTCTGCGATCACACAGATTTCGTATTTCTCCGTGGGTGAGAAATATCTGCGTAGAGGAATCGTGCAGGCCGCGGAGATCGAGCGCGAGTGACATTTAATGTGAACGTTGAGTTTAGGACATGCCATTTATGTTGTGAAGTGGAAGGGAAAGTAAACCAAACTTCTTTCTCCTTTAATAAAATAATACTAGAGGGGAGAACGAAGGCACGTGAAGGTGCATGTGAGGTGACAGCTGGGTGAATTTCTAATGTGACGCAGCACGCCACAGAGTGAGTAATATTGATTTCATTCGGTTTTGGGAAATGTATATGTATACTCAGAGAAAATGGTTCACTAGTTGTATACTGTTTTGATGTCAATGTTAATTTGAATTCATTAATAATCTGTTCTTGGAGAAGAAGATAGTAATAACAATGTTAATAGAGATGTACAGAGTGTAAAATGGATTTACTTGAATTTATTTAGTCAATAGTTGTAAGTGGCTTATGAGAATGTATATTTGATTATATTCTATGTTTGTTCTTCCTTTAGAAAGCATTATAAGCCACTACCGTTGTTTATCCAGGGGGTTAAATGCTCACACCAATTTCTTTGTACTGTGTTTAATTTATTTATTTGTTTATTTTTATTTTATTTTTTTGTTACTGTGGGGCTATCCTTGTAAAGGGAAAAAGGGGGAATTGGCGAAACTGGCCTGAAGTTATTTCGGTAACTGTGAGCACTATTTGAAGTGCTTATATTTTTGGGTTTGTTTCTTTATACCTTTGGGGAAGCGTGCTTTTGGTTGTGTTTATTCTTCACTGTATACATTTCATCGGCACAACTCCCCTCAATTGAAAACCTTGAGTATTAATGCCGCGTCTTCTGCATACGCGGTCGGAAATAAAGAACCCCTAGTTTAGATACTTGGCAGTGTTTGAGTTTCTTTGAGAGTTTACACATTCACACAACCACATTTATATATGTAATTATGGAAGCTGAGGAGATGTAACCAGTAAGTTTTCCAAAAATCTGAATGTTTACACACAGAATGTGTCCTGGCTGCAATAAAACCTGTGTTTTGTGATGTTTTTCAGTCTGTTCTGCACAAACCTGACCTGGCCTGCGAGAATGCACACATTAGTGGGGTACAGACGTACAGACAGACACTCATTGTGTCATGAAGATTACGTGTCTCGCAGATTGTCTCTCAGATGGGATGCTGCTCCTTCCCCTCCATGAGCGCCTCCAGCAAAAAGGAGGTCAGGGAGAGGCAGGAGGACAGAAGAGCATCCCCTCAGGTACACACACACAGACACAGGTTTTACAAGACCTTTTGTAATTTAGTGCTAACTATTTGGGATTTCTTTTTCTTTGCAGTTTCTCACACACAATCAGCCAGAGAACGAAACAGGAGGTGGCCTTCATTAATGAAGGACAAACTGGACCAGAACATAATGCTGCTGCTTGTTTCTGTGAGTTCACAACTGTATATTCAGTATGTTCACAACATTCTTCATATACCTGTACATACAACTGTCTATTGTTATATACCTGTACATACAATTGTCGATTTGTATATTTTTATTCCTTATTTACATTTTCTATTTTTTATTTATTTTAATTTTTTATTATCTGTGTTTTTTGTTCTGTCACTGTCATTCTGTTACACTGTGGAAGCTTCTGTCACGAAAACAAATTCCTCGTATGTGTAAACATACCTGGCAATAAAGCTCATTCTGATTCTGATACCGTTGATCCCATGATATGATTTTGATTTTGGCCCCACCTTTGTTTCCAGGTCACTTTATCAGTGCTATTAAAACTGTTTCTGTGACCATATTTGATTGGTGTAGAAAGAGATGCCGGAAAAATAAAGCGAGTTAAATATTCAGAGTGCTGTGTCTCACATGATCATAAAAGCTGAAGCATCAGATGTGATTTAATTAATGGCTATTTGTTCCACAGATCTGGACACTAAAATGGGAATTTGCCACGCTGAATGGGGAAAATGTCACGTTGGGGGTGAAACTGGGAAATTGCCACGCCTGGTCCTCTTCTGGTGTCCATCACCTCCACCCACGCCTTTCTAATGCTGCCATGTGTGTTAGTTTGATTCAAGTTACACAATAAAGGTTCCCCGACGGCTTCAAGTGTCCTTCTTATTTTTCCATCACTAGCGTTACACAGTTCTGCACTTTTCTCTACTTGATGCTGCAGTCAGAAGTGCACTGAAACGGACTCAAACTGATGGAAAACGGCAAAGATCCAAGCCTCAAGCTTCAAATTTTGATCTCAGTAATACTATAAAATTTATCGTGACATTATGCAAAATCAGATTCCATGCTTTTAATGACATGAGCCTGTATGTTTGTCAAAGTCTCTGTACAAAACAACGTCCCTCAGGGCGTTTAGTCCAAAAGTGTGAAATTTAAATGCATCCCTGCTGGAAGAAAAAAACAACAAAAACCAGCCTAAGCTGGTCTCCCAGCCTGACCAGCTAAAGAAGTGACCAAAACCAGCCTTCTGAGTCTGACCAGCTATGACCTGGCTGGACTACCAGCTAAAACCATACAACCAGCTTAGGCTGGTTTTAGCCTTTTTTTTTTTCAGCAGGGATGGATTAACTGGAAATAATGAGCATTTCTCTCTTTTTTTTCCAAAATGGGGCGACGTGACAGAGTCTCTTTGAAAACAGTGAATTCCTGCATTCCTGACAAACAGTTCACAAAACGCAGCACACAGTTGTTACACAGATTAATAGATTGTGTGCAAAATGTAGAATGTATTTAGGAGCATGTGTATGAATTAAAAAAAACCTGCAGGTCGTTAAAAAGTAAAGAATTATCACTTATTAAATTTAAGATTGTAAAAGGTCTTAAGTGTTTTAAATGACATAATAAACATCTTATTTTAAGAGGTCTTAATAATAAACCGATAGATAAACTTTAAAAGGCTTTGATTTAATTAACTAAATGTAAGTGCTGCACATTCAAAGTAAAAAAGCTGGTTCTATCCATTACATGACAAACAAAACATAATAATGTAATAATTATTTACATTTTACATCATTATTAAATACAGTTTGAGGCAGAAGTATTTTAAAATGGTACTTTTTATACTTAATTTTGCTTGTAAAAGTCTTCTTGTATACCTTTATTAAGGGAAATTTTTATTATTTCATCAGTTTTGATTGCACTCCCACATTTTTTACCTTAGAAGCACAGGTGAAAAACAAGCATTAAACTCTGATAATCAGGCCTGGATATAAAAGTCTGCAAGTTGACAGAGCTGGGGTCACTGCTTTGATCGCCCAATCAAACACGCTGTTGGGTGTCACGTGACCGAATGCGGAAGTGCGCGCTGTGTTTATCGAATGACCCTCAAACAACTGTTAATAACCAGCTAACTTAGTATAATAACCGACACCCAGCCTTCATTATGCGAGTTTAACCAGCAGGTATGTTGTTATTTACTGCTTGTGTGCGAGATTTCTTCAGTTTATCGGCGTGACACTGTGAGATTGTCCTAACAGTTACATTTAAAGCTCAAAAGTCCCTTATTTACATTCACTCTCATATTTCATCGTTGTTTTGGGCAGAAATTAATGCTTTGTTATAAATTACAGGTGCAATGTTATCTTTATTGTTCATACAATATTATATCCCACGTTCATATTTACTGGAATTCATTTCTAACACACCAACACCATAATTCTAGTTTATAAAGTGACATTAAAGGAGACACATAATGCATTTATGATGATTTTATTAAAGTTACATGCTGAAACTACTGTATTTGAATGGAAACTGTGATTAATTGCAGTTAATTGCAAAGGTGAATCTAACCAAACAAGTCTTCTCAAGAAAATGGACATTACATTTAAATTCTCATTACTGGAAACTATGCAATATTAGTAAAATATTTGTGCGTCATAGTAGTAATATTTCTTTAGCAGACTGTATGTCTGCTGCATCTCACTGTATTACAGTAATAACTGCTGAAAAGAATGAGAAAACAGACGATGATTTCACAAATTCTCTTTTAGTTTTTATCCTAAATTCAGTTTTGTTTTGTTTTTTCATTTTATTTATTCTGGATTCTATTTTTGATCTTTTCAGAAGTTCTGTGTTATCTGTTTTTGAATTTATGATTTAATACAAAGGTATCAGAAATGGTGGCATAAATCAAATGAAGGCATAAAACATTAACAATTTAATAAATCTTTTAAAATGTGATCAAATGTAAATGTTTTCAAGGCATTTATTATACTGTTAAAATTAATATTCCTTAACTTTTTTCCATTTTAATTATTCTGTAAACCAATTTTTTGTTTGCATTTAAATTTTTCTAGGTTCTGTTTTAATTCTTAATTTAAATGTTAATGAACAAAAGCATGTCTAATTAATTACATTTATAAAACTTTTTTTATATAACAATTTATGATTTTTTTTACAGTAATATGGTTATGTGAAATGTTTTATCTTTTCAGAAGTTCTGTGTTATCTTTTTTTGTATTTATGATTTAATGCAAATGTATCAGAAATTGTGGTGCACATCAAATGAAGGCATAACACATTAACAATTTAATAAATGTTTTAAAATGTGATCAAATTAAAATGTAACATTTATTATACTGTTACATTTAATTTCCTTACATTTTTTTTTCTTCTTTTTCCATTTTAATTATTCTGGATTCCATATTTTTTTTGCACTTTAATTCTTTTAGATTCCATTTTAATTTTTAAATTAAATGTATAATTGATTATTTAATAATCAAAAAGCATGTCTAATCAATTCAATTTATCAAACTTTAACAGTTTATGATTTTTTAAATTTACTTTTTAATTGTTTTTTTATAAGTGTGATCAAGTGAAAATGTAGAATTTATTATAGCGTTACAATTATATTATACTGATTTGAATAAGAATCTCAGTATTGCACTACAGTAATACGTACTGTTGTTATGAAAACGTTGGCACAGTGGCTTGATTTTGGGCTGAAATGTGGCGTGCTGTCATGTTGTGCTGATGCTGCTGTTGTTCACAGGCGTCTGAAGGATGATGAGGAGCTTTCTGGAAGTGAGCTGAAGAACCGTCACCATGACCGTGGTCTGCCTGCTGGACGGCTGCGCGCTGCGTTTGTGCCACAGACCGGGACGTGTGTCCGCCGTCCTGTCCGCGTCCCCGCTGAGGAGCCCGACCTGTAGGCTGAGCTGTAGGCTGAGCTGGAGGCCCGGGCGCAGCCGGAGGTTCTGGTTCTGCAGGGCAGGATCGTACGCAAACGTCTCGGCCTTCAGCACGTCGACGCGACGCGGGGCAGCCGACCTGAGATATCACGCGTCCCGTGTGAGGAGCGTTCTGGACTCAGCCTGGAAAGCAGCGAGAGAGACGCAACTCAAAGCCGAGGAGACCTCGAGCCCGCCTGCTGTTTAGTGTTACTTCAGCATCGTTCAGATTGTTAAAGGGGCCCTATTATGCTCTTTTACACAGTGTTGATTTGGTTTTTGGGGTGTACTAGAATAGGATTGTTCCAAAAATTCATTATTTTCCACATATTTGACATTAATGCAGCACCTCTCCTCTCAAACGCGCTGTTTAGTTCCTGTTTCGATGAAGCCCCTCCTTCTGAAATATGAAATGTGCTCTGATTGGTCCCAGTGCTGGCCCAGTGCGCTGTGATTGGTGAACAGCTTAGAGTGTGTTCCGGAAATGCCACACCTTTATTTTTATTATTATTACTTTTTATTATTATTAGTAGTATTACTATTAAACCAAATAAATAAATATTATCAAAACATACAAAAATATTATTTAAAATAAAATAAATATTATTACTATTAAACCAAATAAATCTTTCATTACTAATCATATAAACAAATAAATAAAAATATATTTATATACGTGTATATATTTAATAAATAACTGAATTTAGTAAGACAAATAATAATAAATTATTTTTAATTATGTTTTAACAAATTAAAATTAACCAGGCCACGCCCTCTTTTCGGATATTCCGTAGGCGGGAATTATGTAAATGAGTGACTTTGATGTCACAGTATCCAGAAGAAGTGCGCTGTAGTCCGAACGAGCTGTTTGCTGTAGTTCTTGAAAAGTGAGAAGATCTCCTTTTAGAGTGGACTTTGTAACCTTGTATTAGGGGTGCTCCGATCGATCGGCTACCGATCACTATCGGCCGATAATCACGTTGGGATGATCGATCGGCGGTCTCTAAAAAGGCCGATCTCAAAAAAACGATCTCAAGCTGATGACGCTGCTGTGAGAGGTTTGGCACGACATGCAGCGTCACAGTCTCAGTCTCTGTCCAGCGTGGGTGAAATAATTATAATGCTGAAGGAGAGGTGCAACTCATATTTCTTCATTAAATAACTCTTAAAGTAATTTGAAAAACTTCAGTGGGACATAATTTCACAAACAGCGTGAGTGAATCACCACAAGCGCGCTCGCGCTGCAAGTGCTGAATTAAAGTAACAGCGCATTGTTTGTGGTAAATATGAAAACGAAAATGTAGTAATTACACCATAAATGCATATAATTAAAGTCTACTGTGTTTCACAGTAACACATATGGCTTGTTGGCTAGTTTTAAAGGAAAAAAGCACTTTTAGATAAACAAGGCAATAATAGATGGCACTCGTGGAGGTAATAAAGATTTAAAAGCAAAAGGAAAGGCAGTAGAGCTGACTGTTTGTCAGTGGTAAGTTTTAATTTAGAATGTTTGTGATAACGTAAGAAAAGTATTTTAAATGTTTTGCCACTTGCTTGAGCAACTTTTTGTGCTGTGTGTAAGCTATTTTGCAACAATTGCACGAGTGTAAAAACAAAAATGTGCTGCATGATCGAACATTTAGGTGTGATAAATATATATTTTTGAAAAATGTCTACCCCTCCACCCCTCAAATTAAAAAAATCCCCTCTCACAAGAGACACCTAAGAGGGGAATTCACACCGCACCGACAAACGCCAACAAACGCCAACAGACACGTTGGCCGCTGGATTTAGAATTTTATGAAAAATAACTCTGTTCACAATGTTCATACTGCCCCAACAGACACCAATAGACTTCAAGTCAGGGAGAGTTAACTAGGGGGAAAATGGATGATCTTGTAACAACAATCAAAATGATACTGTTATTAATGTCTTTGGTAATATTGTAAGGCAGTTTTATTATAATAATAATATATTGTCAAATAAATTTCCGTTGTGAAATTTCCCAAGCGCTGTAGCGATCGATCTGATCGCATTCCCCCTCGCGTTGCGGTTGGTATACTCGGCCACACCCACCGCATAAAGCTCTGGCCTCTCCTCCCAAAGATCCAAAAACTGTTCCTCTTTCTGGTTTGTCCAGAAACCTGCCATTTTTAAAGTTATTTTCCTAAGCGTGCCCAGCACCTACTTGCAGTCTTGCCTCATTGTCATGGCAACGGTTCGTGGCCAGGTCAGATTATGTCAGAGTTTGTTGGAAAATCATATCACACTGCTCAGACATTCCACGACCCAACAAACGCCGATTAAACATGTTCAGTCGGGTTAAAACCAACTCCGACCAACGCCAACAAACGCCGACAGGGGTAACACACTGATCCAACAAACTCCGACAGACTAGTCTGTTGGTGTTTGTCGATGCGGTGTGAATTGGCCTTAAGAGGGGAATTCCCCCCATTTTCAAAAATGAAATTCAGGCCCTGAATAAATGTCTAAAATTCCTGATTGGAGTATTACTATAAATAATTTTTTTTACATGAGAAAAATAAGGCTTTAAAAACATGGGTATCGGTGATCGTATCGGCAGATACTGCTTTCTGTGATCGGTGATCGGCCTCAAAAACCCTGATCGGAGCACCCCTACCTTGTATCAGCTGGATAACTGTTACAACCTTGCAGATCTTTTTTTAAGCTCAAAAAACAACATTACACACAACGTGAAAAAGCATAATAGGACTCCTTTAATATTTTGAATTAGATTTTATTTTTATATTATCTGCTTCCATGTTAATTTTGGTTCAAGTTTTAATGATTTTGTTGTGGGTTTTTTTTTTTTTTCGTTTTTAAATATGTCTATATAGCTTTTATTAATTTTACTTAAGTTTAAGTTATTTTAGTTAAAGTTAGTTCAAGTTAAGCTTGGAAAAATAATTTAAAACAGTTTACATTTTTTATAGTTTATTTATTTATTTAACATTTATTTAAAGTAACATAAATGTTTTTTAATGATTTTAGTTTTAGTTTTATTTATTATTTTTCTGTTTTTATTCTTTCATTTTAATTTTAGTACTTTTAGTAATTTTATTGTTTTTTATCATTTTTATTAGTTTTTGTTGTTTTTAAATATTAATGTTAATTCCATTTTAGTTTTAGTTATTTTAGTACATCAAGCTAAACTAAATGAAAATGAGAAGTGTTGCATTTTGAAATTTCATTTAACATTTATTTTATGTAGCAGAAATGGTTTTTAGGATTTTGGTTTTAGTTTTATTTAACTATAATAATCCTGTACCTGTTTTGTCATAGGCTCCGCCCCCCACACTTGTTGCTACGACAACTGAGATCCAGGAAGAGAAGCTGTGCAGAGTGACCGGAGCAGCCCAGCTCACTACACAACAGGCTCCGCCCTCAGCAATTGTTGCAACGGCAACTGAGGTCCAGGAAGAGAGGGAGTGTGGAGTAACTGAAACAGCCCCGCCCACTATACCACAGGCTCCACCCACCAAACAGGCCACGCCCATCTTCCACCCAGGCTCCCTCAGCATTTATCTAGGCGAGACTTACGACTATGTGTCTCAGCATATCAACTCTTACTTCAGCAGCTTAACTAAACCCGGCCCAGATGTCACCCAGCCCGCGTCCTCTCGCCCGGAAACGCCTCGTGCCCTCTTTCTTCGACCTTCTTTGCGGGAACCCTCTTTCTCTCTCGGAAAAGGACTCGGGAGCTACTTGAACTACTCGCCGCCGAGCGTCCAGGGCTTCATAGGGAACTACATTACGCCGCTGGTCCCCCGGTTCAGAACGGAGCCCAAAAGCGCGTCGGTGGAGGCGGATGAAGCTGCTTCTGATGATGCTGAACGCAACAAAACGGTCCAGAGTGAAGATCAGAGAGCGGCGGAGGAGAGAGCCAGACGCCTGCAGCTCCAGAGAGAGAAGGTACGCGTGGAATCAAACATTTAATGAGATTTCTGAACATTAATGAAAGAAGTCTCTTATGCCCAATTTACACCACTGAGGCGCTTCTGAAGTGGCATTTAGGCGTCTTTACACAGACTGTTTAAAGGAGTAATTCACTTCCAGAATAGAAATCTCCTGATAATTTACTCGCCCTCATGTCATGGAAAAACATTCCAGGGTTTTTCTCCATATAATGGACTTCAATGGGGACCAAAGGTCCGAATCACAGTTTCAATGCAGCTTCAAAGAGCTCTACACGATCCCAGCCGAGGAAGAGTCTTTTTCTCTTTTCTAGAGAAACCATCGGTTATTTTCTTTAAAAATTATAATTGATATACATTTTAATCACAAATGCTCATCTTGCAGTAGCTGGACTTCACGCATGACGTAATCCCGTTGGAAAGGTCACGCGTGACGAAAGCAGAAGCACCGATCCAGTGTTTACAAAGCGAATGTGCAGAGAAAGTCAAATGCCCTTTACAAAAAAAAAAGGTAAAACACGATGTCAGATGATTTTGAAGTTGGAGGAGAAAATGAGTTTTTCTTTCTGAACCGGAGCACACAGACGAAGAGCTAACCACGTACGACCTTGTGATAACGAATGTGATAACGTCATGCGTGAAGTCCAGCTAGTGCAAGACCAGCATTTGTGGTTAAAAACTAAATAAATGTTTCTTTTTTTAAGAAAATGAGTGATGGTTTCTCTAGATAAGACCCTTATTCCTCGCCTGGGATCGTGTAGAGCTCTTTGAAGCTGCACTGAAGCTGTGATTTGGACCTTCAACCCGTTGGTCCCCATTGAAGTCCATTATATGGAGAAAAACCCTGAATGTTTTCCTCGAAAACCTTAATTTCTTTGTGACTGAAGAAAGAAAGACATAAACATCTTGAATAAAACGGGGGTGAGTAAATTATCAGGAGATCTTTATTCTGGAAGTGAACTACTCCTTTAATGCTGCTCAGAGATGGCATGAATGCATTTACACAGCTATTATTACTGTATGCATTGATCCTGAGGTGGGTCAGAACTAGGGTTGGGTACTGAACTCGGTACTTTTAAGGGTACCATTAAGCCATATGGTTTCTGAGAAAACACGGACGGGATCGCAGAGTCCATTCATAAAATTCGTCAATTTTGGACGAATAAATCAAAAGTAGCCACTGCCACTTAATTCGAATCGCGATTTGAACTAGTGTCTGTGAATATTAAAATGCAAAAAAACGGTTTAAATATGAATCCTGCATGTTCCGCTTGCCTCTGTATGTATGAATGTGGTTTGTGAAAAATAGCGGTTTTGTTTACTACACAAATACTGAAGCACGCGTGACGCTCGCGGTGATTTCCGGCCTCTGCGTCTCACTATATGACGGCATGAACACAAAAACGTAATCTCCAGAGCTGCTGTGAGAGTAACTTCGCGAGAATTTTACAGTTTCATTTGATAAAACTAGCATCATCATACTGTATACACACAGAAACTTCATAGCAACCTGTCAAAATAAAAGTACGGTTTAACATGTAACAGAAATATATTACTCTTGTATTACTTTTGTACAGTATAATGTACATCTTTAAATATTCAATTTTCTATCAAATTTAAATAAAACAATTAAATGATAAAAATAAATATTACAACCAGAT